TTTCAGTAGAGGATTCCGTCGAGATTTCTTCCTTGATTCCGTTGCAAACGCCTACCCTGCTGCTCCACCAGAATGTGGCGGGGTTTTACGACAAGTTTGATGGGTAGGCGCGGCGCAGGCAAACAAGGAGACTCAAACCCAAGTGTGGAGTTCGAGGCAAAATGTAAAGTCGAGTTAGTTAAAGGTGTGGTCGTGGCTGTAGTCCTAATGCTCTAAGTTCTACTGCATCAGCGGTTGATGGTTGAGGGATCTCCGTCTTGGTAGATCTTCGACACCCGTATGACGGTCCGGGTCATCGATTTTGGGAGGTATATAAGGTCTGGGAGGTCTAGCCAGAACGGGAAAGGCAACCCGGTCTTCAGGAAGGTCAGAGGGTCGATCAGGGCCTCGTCTGGCTTCGCAGTCTCGGCAGGGTCATGGACCCCGCAGTCGCACCGTGACACACGCTCACGAGCCATCTGCACAATGTCTGGCTCAATGTTCCTGTCGATTTAGGTTTTGAGTGCCGCCCACACCATTGGTCTTGTCGCCACAGCCACCAACCACACCAAGACCGAGCCGTTGACAGGCGTCCAACAGTTGAGCCTTCTTCCACGTGGCTTTTGGGGTGCCGTCAGGTAAGCCCTTATGGTACTTTGAATTGTCCATTGCAAAGATCACGCCATGCAAGTTCATTGACTCTACTTCGTCGAGTAGGTCGGTAAACCAGTCAACAAAAAAGTCGTGGGTGAACATCGCGTTTGTAGTCCTTCGGCTGTCTTGCCCCGCCGGTGAAGATTTCAAGCCCAAGGACGTTCCCCGTCGTTGGGCCGCTCGCAACAACTGCCGCCACAAGCAGAGTCTTTGGCCTTTGTGCTTTTCTTTTGATGGGATGCATGCGGCATCGTCTGGGTGGTAGAGACTGTCGTGTTGTAGCTTGTAGTTGTGATAAATGACGCGTCCAGATAAATGACCGTACGTGGCGTGTCGTCTCGCAACGCATGGACAACAAGCTTCACTTAGGCATCCCGCTTTACAATCACTTGATTAGTGAGACCAACATATACTCCCTTCTTCTTCCCGCGCTTGATTCCACGGCGTGTTAAGAACGTTTGTGTCGCTCGTATTTCAGCACGATGGTCCGTAGGGCTGTCCTTGTCGAACATCCAAGTGGCCGTGCTCGCAAAGCAGTTCCATGGCGTCACGAGCATCGACGCGCGAGTGCGTCAACCACTTGGCACGAACAAAGTCCAACACGAGCGTCAAGACAGCCTGGGTTCCGGGGACTCTGGTAACGTGAGTGGATTTATTTGACGGCATTTTTGCAACATCAACTGTGCCGTCCTTGCAGTACTGGGACCACACAGTTTGTATTGTTTTGTTGCTGCGACCCAAAATGGTAGCAACGTGGTTTGAGACGTCTTTTATTCCCGATTTACGGAAGTATGCCTGTAGGCGGATGATGTCGAGCTTTTCGCCCACTGTGAGCGCCTTTGGCCGAGCCTTGGCTACGAACGCGATGGCAGCATCGAGTTCGGTGGTCATTGTTGTCCCAAGAACGAATTTCGTTTGTAATACTACAGGCGATCATTTTTTGCGTTTTTTATCAGTACTATTGTTTATACATGTTCCAGTATTTTTTATGCAAATAATTGTCGTGGGTTAGAAAAGTGTTGGCTGACCTTGGACTCGATCCCTGGCCCAATTGCCATCACTTAAGGGGACTAACAAACGTGGCTTATGCCCAACGGGGAAACCTAGCGGGCCATGTAGTAAAGGGGAAGCCCTTTACTACATGGCTGGGTACAACTAAAAATAACTCAATTGTTGATGGTTCTCAACACGCGAGAATCTCTGTGTTGTTACAAGCAATTCGATACAAATTTCTACATCGTGTCCCTGAGCTGTCACTCGGCCTCCCCCACCCGACGCATGCTGCACGACGCCCGTTCAAGTGCAGACTGTATTGCATCAGACGACGAACCACACACCCTGAACGACGTCGTGTCGCGGAAGAAGTGGACCCCAGGTGATCCACGTCGAGGTAGGCAGATTCTGTGGATGTATGAAGGATTGTAGTCGGACGGCAAATCGAATTCCCGATGAAAATCAACAACCTCGTCTATTCGCCGTTGTGGCCAGGAATGGACAACATGGTATTGCCGCGGACGTCGCACCACTAACACCCACGGGCACGGGTACTGTCATCACGTCGGCACTACCACCCAAACCACTGACAAAACCATGCCTGCCAGCATCGCACGCCACCGTCTAGGCACCAACACTCCAGCTGCAGAAGTGGTGGTATAAGCAAAATTCTTGAGAGAAGTGTTCACACTATTTGCGGTTCGCTCCAACAACATCGAACTATTAGGATTCATCCCTTTGGAATAAATATGTTTTTCTAACCAGGTCGATTTGAATTAGATTACGAAGGCGCTCAACAAACTGGCGTGCTTTTCCGAGAAAATGAAGAGTGGGATGACAAATTTAATGAAGGAATTGTATGTTACAGTAATAGAAACTTTAGGGCATCCCCAATGGTGCGACGGTAAACGCTATTTTACCGTTTTTGGGGTCAAAAATATGCAGTTTTGGCAACCCCAACGGTGCGACGGTATCTACCGGAAACGGCATATTTTTACCGCGAGACGGCAAATCGTCAATTTTTACCGTTTTGTGACCACCCGACGGTAAAATACCGGAGCCAATCATAAACCACAAACCAGCATATTTCCACCAATAAAACGCATGTATTTGAGCATGGACATTTATTTCCATACCAATACTGACACTGCTGGAATGGCTCTCAACGGGTAGAGTGCGAACTTCACCACTGACGAGGACTGCCAGCTAGTTTTTTCGTGGTTGAACATATCCCTAGATGAGTCTAAGGGGGGCGGGCATAAGGCCGAGCAGTTTTGGGCCCGCGAGGGGGCGACTATTGCACCTATTGCGATCCGGACTGCCATCGCACAGTACGATCCTTAGCTACTTGGGGGAGCAACATACTGGAGTAATGCAATAAGTTTGTTGGGTGTTCATTATGGTCCTTTTTAACGTGCGGTCTTGGCCCCGGTGTTTGGTGTGGACCGTTACTCATGCTTCGGAAGTGACAGTTATGCGGATTTTATACCGTTTTACCATTGGGATTGTGCAAAAGTAAAATAAAGTGACGGTAAACGTCAAAATACAGTCTGATTATACCGTCGCACCATTGGGGATGCCCTTAGCAAGTACGAAATGTGCGTAGTTTACATACTTTGTACTTCGTTCGATTTTAGCGGTGTCTGAAGTTGTAAGTTTAAAGAACTCAGATTTAGCAAGTCTGAGAAGTAAATCCCATCACACCAAGCCAACACCATCCATTATTCCTTCTCCTGTTCTTAGTCTGTGCCTACCGATATAACTTCATTGGGCGTAATTGGACGAGAGAAAACGATAATCATGTGGCAATCAAGTGGGGAGTACACTGTGATGTACTAGTACTGCCCTGAGCTACAGCTCCAGACAAACGTCCTGCATCACTGCACATACCCGCGCTTGTGCACTGTCCTAACACTAGATACTGTATAACCTATGCTTCGGCTGAAGCGAGTCGGAACATGTTGGCGTGAGTGGAAATTTTGCAAGCAACCCTCAAACAGCAATTTGATTGGCTCGGAAAGTTGTCAGTTGTCTGCGGACTTCGAGGTCAAAAGTGTGATGACTTCCTCACTCATCAGACATGTTTCCGAGCAAAATCTGCAAGCTTCGAAGTTCGATTCGAAGTTTTAGTCTGGAAAGTCAAGATTTCGAACTAAAAGTCTCTACTAGAGACTTTTTGAATCTTGTATTCCGGGTTCGAGCCTATTCATTTTCCTCTTTTACCATTGATCTGTTTGCAACGTTGCCACTGCTACCATAAACGCGCGGCGAGTCCCTGTTCTCTCGAATTGTTACACCCCATCGTAACTGCACATTGTTTAAGACCATACAGGTCAAAAACTCTAACTTGGACGTATCACCTTGTCCTTGAGGTGTATTCTGAATGAAATTGTAAAGGCCTGGTGTTAATAACGGAAAAAAACAATTTAAGATAACTTTTTTGGAGGCGTCGGAGGAAAATGGACATAACTTTTGAGTCCGTTACGATATTTGAGTTTTCAATAGTGATTCCAGTAGACAAGACGCTCCGCTTTCAGTTCAAAATCGAATTATCAGTTTAGACGAAGAACATCACAGGTAAATTTGTTACTTTCTAAGCATTTGTACTCACATTTTGATAACGAATTTAGGATAACTTTTTTATCTTAAAGTATGTGTGTCGGAGCATTGAAATTCTGTTTGTAGGGTAAGCGGTTAAAACAGATTTCATATAATTTATACAAGGGTATTGTTTGATAGAGTTATATTTCTGTTGTGGAAGGATATCCACCGAGTTTAACACTCGACAAAACCTCAGATCCAACCCAATGTGGCCCGTGTCGACTAAGATACTTCAAACTCAATCTTGAATGACTGTACCAATGGTTTCTACGCCGTTTTTGCATTTCATTCACGTGACGGAATGGTCAGCATTATATGACAGAGGTTTTGACTCGAACCAATAACGAGGTGTGATTGGGCAATACAAAGTTATCCTAAATTGGTTAAGTAATCTTAAACGGTTTTTTACGTTAAGATGAAACATAACGACCCGAACAAGCAAAATATATCATAACATCCTTGATAGTCTCGTCGTGTAAGTTGAGTTGGCTGGTGTCAGCGTTGTTGAAGTAGCTACAAAATGTTGGATAAAACGAATACACTACACTACTATTGCTCTTGGGTGGTCGTCTGGCTCGAGAATATCAGTCGTTGCACTTATATCGTCAAGGATGAGTGTACCATCACTTTCTCCATCACTTTCTTGAATTCCTGCACCATGTGCGAGGATCTCGCTTCGACGGTAGACATCATCGCAACTGTCGTGTCCCTGGAGTTTGGCACCCTTGTAGTACTTTACAAACTTTCGACTTAGCTGAACGGAGTAGCTGTGTAGCCGTAGTTAAGTCACAGCCGTTCATACCATCGAGGTATGTTCACCTGAGGACTGATACAATCGTAGAACCAGGAATGTTAGACCACCACACGGAACACGGAACACAGGCAATTCAAAAGCAAATCCATTGACGGTGATGCCCCAGTTCGAGCCACATAGCACGCGATAGAGCAGAAAGCCATGTCACCGAAGTCTTCTAGTGACGTCGATTCCCATGCAAATATGAGTGCGATATCGTGGCTGAAAAAGTGATGCATAGGCAAAATACGTGCATACATTGGTAACGCCAATATCAACTTCTAGGCACACAGCGTATGGTGGTCCTTCGCCAGCAACACCACTTGTGGTCCTCACAGTGGACGAGGACGACGACGCAATGGATAGAACGTCATCTGTAACGCATACTAGTATGTAAGAGCATGTGGGTCTTATAGTTCTTGGAGCCTCGTACCCTGAGCTGGTTGGTGTGGATGTGAGCTAAGTGGTTGCGACAGCTTCGGGGTGCAAGTTTGAGCCTGAATTACAATCAGAAGGGCCAGCTGGACGGTCATTCACTGAGCCGGTGGGCTTTCGAACCGACTCAAATTATTTTTAGTCATCCGGAATTATAGTTCAAATCCATCGCCTTTCTTTGCGGAGACGCAAATATCGTCTCAGCAAAGAAGAACGCTTGGGGTAACGTTATCTAATCCCGAGAATATATATATTGATTTCTTCATAGTATATATTAATGTATATTATATGCTTTCCACGGCTCATGTTGCTCGACCAAGTGTCTTGGAGAACCCGGTGCCGACATCTACACGAGGAACATGACATACTCAGGCTAGACCTCGTAACGGAGGCACTACCAAGGATCTAAATGTATATCTGACGCAGCCCCGAGAGAACGGACAGAAACCCATGCTTAACGCGACCACGATGCCTTCGTTGCTGTGGTCGCGTTGGACTCGACACAACAACCACCCAACCATATGGAGAGTATTCGCGGCAAGTTCAAGACATTGTACTTGCGGCGAATACACTCAACCATGATCGGTGGCCTGCGTCGCCTGGCCGGGGACGACGTTGGGGACCTAGCGCACGGTCCAGTGATAAATGGAAATGCATTGAGATGATTGGCTTATCCTAGCCAATCGATGCATTACTAAGTGGCTGGGCCAAACTATGCATATTTTGGGGTGGTTTTGAAACGAAATATTCACCTATATTGGACACTTTACGAAAAGGACGCGGTCGCAAATTGCCGATATAGTCGTTCCAAGGAGTGCCACGCGTTGCTCGACAAGGTCAGTTGGTCCAATCTGTAGAAATTCATTCTGGATTCCACCTTCATAGTGTACTGGTCACGTTACACCCAACTACCACGACTAACATGTAAGCTAACTTTAAACTTGTAGTACTACAACACCTACGCACTTTACGCTTAATGTAAGTTGCAAACACTTTTTGTCATATAAAATGGCTGCCGTGGTAGTTGCATACTACAGTAGTACTGTATCACCAGTGTGGTAGCGTTCAAGTCGCTTATAAAGAGCAAATAGCATGCTTTGCTGCTCATCGTACGAGTTCATCAGAATGCTCGTGGACCCGCAAACGCAGTTGCAGGTTCACTACGTCGGTTGCACGTTTGCACGTACTAGATAGAATGTGCGACTTTTCGTATTTACTGTCCATGCACATTGATTCAGGGCATCACAATCGATTCCAACGCAAATGTACACCTTTTATGATGTCATTTTTACGTTGCCTAGGATCACAGAGGATTTTGGCGACGTTACGTCTCCATGCTATGCTACACTGCACTGGGAGTTGAAAACCACAAACCACAGATAGTGCCATTGATTGACACAATACGATTTGACTGTTAAGTCGAGCTCTTGGCTCCTAATCGCCACATGATGGCTTGATGGACGTGACGCCTTCGCTGTTGAACACGGTGACTTCCTTGGCGAATTGTTTGATGCCTTTGTACACTTCGAGGCCGCGTGTAGGGATGGTCGACGTGCTCACGTTAAATGTACTGCCGAAAATTTCAATGGTCAAAGCGGCCTTTCTGAACTCGC